TTTCTCATAAAAAATATTATTTTCATCTTATATCTTTCAATATAATTGCGCATTAATATTAATTCCTAGTCGGACATGCAGCCTGTCCCACTGCGTGATGGGAAGAAAATTAGGGAGAAAATTAAAGAATAATAATGAAAATTCTCTAAAATGGTAAATTTTTTTAACTATTTTTAAAATTTTTCTTTCCTACTATTTCCTTCATTATTTTTCTTATAATTTCCTTTTCCTTCCACCATCCAAACATGGTCATAGTTTCAGTCAATAGTTTTTTTTTTAAAAAAAAAAAAACTAGCAGCAGCAAGGACAATGGAAGGACTGCCACGAGAGAGAAATTATAGGAAAAACGAAGGGCATCCTAAAATGAAAATTGAATAAAACTTAATTTCATTAAATTATTACTCTGTTTCTTATTATAGGTCACTTGTATCCCAAATTTACAAATCAAGAAATACATTAAATTAACTAATTTTTTTTTACATTTACGCTTATTAAAAGTTGAGAGAGAGAGAGGGATGGGACAGATTGCATAGAAAATGAAAAGTTAAGAGAGAGAGATTGAGAAGGAGAGGAACGTATTTCGAGATTGAGAGGGACAAGAACGTATTTCCAGGAGCTATTATTTGGGGTTTAAATTAATTAATTTTTTATTAAATTAATAGAGATAAAATTGGAAAAGGATCATTAATTATACTACAAACGATTTATATTTTGAAATAAACTTTTAGGATACAAATGACTTATAATAAAGTACATAGTGCTAATTTTAATGGTAATTAATAATCATTACTGCTAATTGGTTGGTTGCTTTTTCCATGGTCCTTTCATGTCATTCAACCTTCTTCATCGGAATGCTCATAATCAAATAGCCCAAATATGAGTGCAAAAAGAAGCGGCAAGCCAGGGCCAAACACATAATTGACACAAAAGTTAAAAAAATAATGATGACCATATCTCAAAAGAAGTAAGCTTCAGCTGCACATAAGAGAATGATCAACATAATCATGCAATATCTCATATCCACATGATCCTCATCTTCAAATGATTGCCAATTCTTTCACAACAACAATAATTATATATATAATTAAATACACTGTACTCATCATATATTTTAGATAATTAAGCCTCCAACACCCCCCCCAATATGGTAAAAAAAAAATCGGGAAAAAAAACCCAGATAAACGAGATCATAAAGAGTAGGCCAAAAAAGAGAAAAAGAAAACCCTAGAAATTACAAACCCAACTGTAAGAAGAATTCAATACAGACATATATCATATATGATTTTCTTGGTAATTTGTGGGACTCTGAAGGGTCGTCTTCTACACAAAGGGCTAAAAGGTCACCTGTTTGAAATAGGGTTTGGACCACTTGGGACTTCATGTTCACTGTCGTTGAAGCTTATTGTCCGGTGCGAAGACGTCAGAACAGGAGAGCGACGTCGTTTTTGGCGTTGATGAGGTGGAGCATGAAGGGTGTTGCAGTTGCAGGGATTATCGGGTGGAGGAGAAGAAGAAGGAGAAGGAGGTGGAGGCATAATGTTAGAGGAAGAGTGAAGAAGAAGGAGAGAGCGAGAGGTAGAGAAAGAAAAGAAGAGGAAGAAGAGAGAGAAGAAGAAGAGGAGGGTGATGGAGTGAGGAGAAGAAGAAGCCGCCATGCATGAAATAAGAAGGAAGGAAGAATCATGCAGAGAGAGGGAGGTGGGTAGCTAGGGTTAAGAGAGAGATCAAATTGTTTAATGGCTGATGAAAGCTAAGTCGGGGAGAGAGAGAGAAGAGTGGGGAAGAAGATACCTTGCAGGGTTTGTTATAAGGGAAAAGGAAGTTCAAATTAGAAAGCTGGGTTAGAGAGAGAGAGAGAGGAAAAGCAGGAAAGCAGAAAATGGCGGAGTGGCTCTTTAACCATGTCTGGCGCCAGGTGCATAGCTTTATCAAGTATATGTTCTGTCGTCATGCCGGTGAAAATATGTACAATAAAATCTTGTGTTCCTCACATTTAATTTATACAAAATTAATTTTGGGAATTTCTCATTGGCAGAATGACAGAAAAAAAGTTAAAAATTACAAATCCCAAATGAGATTTGGTAACACAACTTTATTTGATATTGATAAGTTTGAATTTACAAATGACATCAAATTTTTGTTGATATTCCTTGTTTAGCATTTATAAAATTCCAGTTTTTTTTTTTGTTATTGTGCCTTTTCCATTTCCGTAATTTATTTTTTTAATAAAGAATGTATTACACGGTTTATTATCAATTTTGTTGAATTATTAACAAGCCCAAAAAAATGGATATTTGCAAAAATGCAACCATTCTCATGTAATCTACTATGAAAATTTTTGAATATGTCAGTTCTTAACCACTTAACCAAGAAGCTGGCCAAAAAAGAAAAGAAGAAAAACACTCAACCAAGAAAAATTAATTTCTTCATTTAAATAGTCTTAGAATTGAATAAGTTTTCACAAAAACTCAGGTGGAAATTGCAATGAGGCCATTTCTGAAAAAATGCAATATCAGATGCTCCAAAAACTCATGCAAACTGACACATGTTTATGACTTCAAAATTTCTTTTACAACATGACTAACATTTACTATTAGAGGAAGCAGTATGTTTTACTTGCAAAATTTTTTATGAATGCATATTTAAATTGTTATTTTTAGGTAAAAATTTAAAAAATAATTTAGCTGCAAATTAAAAATGAAGAAATTAATGAGCAGAAACGATCACATGAAACATTATATGAAGACAAAATTGTCCTTACGGAGCATGAAGAGAGAGAGAGATATATATATATATATATATATCTCATATGGTTTTCACGGAAGTTTATGATTAGAGTATGCTAATATGAATATTTGTAAATGTCGAAAGAAATTTTTTTAAATGAGGATAAATTTAAATTTTTTTATCATTTTAATGTATTCCTTTATATAAGAGAATAAATTACAAATAAATAATAATAATAATAATAATAATAATAATAATAATAATAATAATAATAATAATAATAATAATAATAATAATAATAATATTATTATTATTATTCATTGTACCTTCTCCTGAAAATTCGAACTCGCAGTCTCGTAACCCTTAAAGTGTTTGGTAGGATTTATTGAAAAATATTGGAGAAAGAGATGCATGAGAAAGAGGGAGAAAGGAGGAGACAGAGGCCACCTAACACAAATAGCATTTTCTGGAATTTTGCCATGCTCACGGACACGCTCCCTGCAGCCCACCTAACAACCATCTCTTACAATTATACTATCTCACTGTCACTCCTCCGTTAACATATATATATATATAGTACTGCCATTGCATGATCTGTATTAACTTTTTTTTTTTTTTTTTGGGACCTTTGCAGCATTGGCAACTGAGGTTAAACTCTGTCCGCAGTAACACTTACATGAACTTGTAACACTCTCAAAATCTTTCCCATCATCTTCATATCGTTCAGTTTTTACTAGAATCAGAGTCTGATATCACTTGTTAAGCTCGAATAGCATCCCGAAAGATGAGAGGGCTCGGAGGTGCACACAAGTGGACATGACACCACATCTTAATCCATCCAAATTAAATCAAAATTTTAAGATATTGAATATATTTTTGTTTATAATTTTATACATTTTTTCTAACTCAATTCTATTTGATATGAGTTTCTCTTCACACCAAGCCAAACTCATTGGTATTAAACATTATAAAGATATACTCCTCCGGTCCTTAATATAAGACTTAATTCTTAAGTTAGTTTTGGTCCTTATAAGACCCATTTCTCATACTTATCAATTTTCTTTAAATTACCCCTATGGATACTCCCTCAACCATAATCAAGTAGAAGAGGGAGAGTGAATATTAAGAAAGATGATTATGATGTTTTAGAAAAAATGTGTCACTTTTCTTATAATTAACTAACTTACTTAACTTTCTTAATCTAATCAAATTAGTTAAATGAGTCTTATATTAAGGATTGGACGAGTATTTCTTTGATCCTATTTATAAGAAACTTCTAGCATATTTTACATATACTAAGGAAAAACCTTATACTGTATTAATTTTTTAAAAATATAACAATTTTTCAACTTTACTGCTATTTAACATGTATACATTTTAAAAGAAATTATCTATAATATAATAAATAAAGGATAAACTAGCACTTTCATAAAAAAATTTAATGAAGTCACTTATAGATAAAAGTGATCTAAAATTTTTTTTTGGTTGGGTTTATAAATAGGATGAGAGAAGTGTATTATCTAAAAGATTCGCATACGGAGACTCTTATCGTTGATCATTATATGAAATTATAGACCCGCCGGATTTATGACGTTATGACAATTGACCCCAACTCAAAGTGTCTTTTTTAGTGCGTTTTTCTTTTATTTTTGGCCCGAGTCAAAGATTTCAGTCTTCAATCATTTCTTCTGCTTTATCCATAGTTATCCACATCAGTCATAATCACCGAAGTTGGAGGAGACAATAGCGGTGAAAAAAAGAAAAAACTTGCAAGAGAAGTTAAACTCTTTTAATTACCATTTTTTCCGCCTAATGAATCACACATTATGTAACCTAATTGAGCCTTAAAAAATGGATTCGGTCTAATTTAACTTTGATCTACAGAGCGTTATCAACATTTTTTTTGACGTCCAGAACAAATTTCAAGATGGGTCAGAAATTAAACTTTTTTTAATAAAAAAAAAACCAAGTATTTGCACTAGCTTATACAATCAATCACCAATGATCATATGGAATACTTTCTCCGGTCCTAATTATAAGACCTAATTGACTAATTTGAGGAGATTAAAAAAAAAGTTAAATTAGTTATTTGTAATAAATAGGTGTTATTTTTCCTAAAATATCCTTAGTAATCAAGTGTATTAGTTAGAACTATTATTGTTAAAAGGACTATCTTGAAAAAAACACATAAATATAAGAGACAAAATGGATTGGAGTCTTATATTTAAGACCAAAATAAAAATTAAATGAGGTATTATATTAAGGAATGTAGGTAGTATTAAATAAGCCTGGAGTTTATTTTTTGATTACTATTAGATTTACTTGAGCTTACAAGCAACAAAATTAATACAATGCAAAGGTCGCTGCCTTTATATGAGAAATCAAGAGTTGAAATAAAATTTAATAAAAGCTCATTATAATTTAAAATACAAGTGAGAGAAAGGCAAAAAAAGAGAAGATTTTTGTAGCAAATCGGATGACTAAGCAAATCAGGCCTTGCTTATGAACTCCACGTCAAATAACAGGGTCGAATCAGGAGGGATGATGCATGAACCTACGTCACACAAATTAAAGTACTTTTCAGATATTATTTCCAATTAATTCAGATTAAAAATCTCCAATAAAAACTATAATGTGATGATGCAGAACAAGTCATAATGGATATAATGAATACAAAGAACCTGATGTAAATATCTATAGAGAAAGAGGAAAGGAAGTGGACTTGCCTCCTCTACAACCAGCACCTCTTGAGCCGTATGCAAGTTCTGGAGGAATTTTCAATGTTCGTTTGCCTCCTACACATACACAAACACAAATCATAAAATGGGTAATTGAAAAGTGAAAACCTTAGAAACTGAAGTTCAAACGTCGAAATAGTACCTGTAAGCATGGGAGGTATTCCTTCGCCTCCTAATATCCCTTCATCCCATCCTTTGATCACCTGTTCGTTCACATTCATCATTCATCAGTATTAAATCTTTGTTCAAAATCCCCAATTTCAATCACCAATTCCCAGGATTCCACTTCATAACTCATACTCAGCTTCTGTGATCAAAATCTTAGAATACAGAACATGGACATGTGATAAGCCCAAATGAAGAGCCTAATCCAAAAAACTAGCTTATTAGGAGGAAAAATCCTTTGAACTTTTAAACTTTATATTACTTGTGAGATTCTTCAATATGGGACTCATAATAGAACAGGAGAGCCCAACTCTAAAAGATTAGCCTGTTAGGATGAAAAACCTCTTAAACTTATAAACCCCGCAGTGCTTGTGAGATTCTCCAACGTGGGACTCATTAGAGGAAATCCTCTGACTTACAACCCCGCAAATAATTTGGTGGTGCATTATGATATGTTCTGTTCCATTGAAAACAGTAGGATGGAACAATGACATCAACATATTAGTATATGACTTCAATTTGTATTGATATATTCCTTTTTTTTTTCTGTATTTTGTTCATGAACGAACTATATTAGAAAACCCAATTAAAATATGAATTTACTCGATTATTAGAATAGATACCTCCCCAACGCCAACGCGAAATGTAAGAGGCTTGCCACGATTATAGCTGCTGTCGAAAATCTTCCCATTCTCCAATTTCCCAACATAATGAGCCTACCCAAACAAGAAACCACGTCGTTTTCAATTTTGCTGTAATTCATTGTAAACCCGAAGGAATAATGTGATTAGAAAACAGTAAGACCTAAATCATATTACAGATTACCTTAATGAGCTGCCCCTTAGCTGCTTGAGGACCATTTCCCACAACTTTATCACAGAAGGCGATGCCTGAAGCAGCCACTGTTAGTTCGCACGGAGCTGCTGATTCGGCCGCCACCGTGGCTTGTGGCAGCGAGTGAAGCGCAACATTGCAAAGGCCGAATCCGAAGGCAAGACCTATTATAGCCTCTCTTCGCTTGAAGTTATCGTCTGGGGTTTGCAAGGTTACTGAGGGATGATTTCCCGAGAATGGGACGAAATTGGATGGTTTTGTTGGAGAATCATTGTTTTGAATTCGAGAGAGGAAGCAGCTGGTACTGAATTTGGGTTTAGATCGGAAGCAAGTAGAGGCGGGAGATAGAGGAGAAGAATATGGCAACGTAATCATTTCCAGAAAAACAGAGCAAGCCTGTGCTTGGCTGCCGGGGATTATTCGTTTAGGACTCTGGACTTTGTGGTGGACGTTGCTTCTCCACGTACAATACTATCATAAGCTCTTTGGGTTGGGCCGCTTATTTCACACTGAGCCTGCATTTGATGCCCAGGATAATATGCAGCCAAAAGATTTACAAATGAAAAGCAGGGCAATTAGTCTAGTAGGAAAAAACTAAACCCTTATAATATGAAAAACTAAGGTTTAAATTTTTACTGAGAGAGATGTCTATGTTTAGTACTTTTTTTTTGCTAAAACATAGGTATCCTCCTCCCAACAGGGATTCGAACATTAATTTGTCACGTTGTGAGAGCCTAGCCTCTTCCACTAGATCCAACTCCCGTTGGTGTCTATGTTTGGTACTTGATAGTATATCGTATAAGATTGCATTCAATAGAAGTATATCTGGGCTTAGGAAAAAGGGGGGATTCTTGGGTCCAAATCCAATGCTCTTTCCAAAATATATAACCTACCATGAAGCAGAATTGGCTTGATTATCAAAAATTCTAATTAAGCATATGGGGAGAAACAGGGGTAGAGTTGTTAGTAAATTTTGGTGCAGAGGAAACAACTTCCAGAAGAGGACGCTAGCTACGTTGCTTGTGTTTCAGTTACATCAACAGTTCCTTCATTTCATATTAAAGACCCTTGAGGGCAAGGGTTCTTAAAAGGAGAGGCAATAATGTATAATTGTCAAATATTAAATATAAGGGTTAAAGGGTGGCTTACTAATGCTATGAGCCTCCTGGGGTTCGTTCTTAGTTAGTTCGTTAATTAGAAGGATTATTATTTTGGGACTGCAAGCTGGACTGCCTGCCCACATAAATGAGAGGTAGTCATCATTTTATCATGTTTTTCAATTCCCCCCCAAAAAAAAAAAAAGAACAGAAGAAGAAGAATGGGGTATCTGTATCCAGTACTCCTCTAATCCTTAATATAAGATCTATTTAACTAAATTGATTAGATTAAGAAAGTTAGGTAAATTAGTTGATTATAAGAAAAGTGACACATTTTTCCTAAAACATTATAATAATCTTTCTTAATACCCCCTCTTCCTCTTCTACTTGATTATGGTTGATGAAATATCTATAGGAGTAATTTAGAGAAAATTAATAAATATGAGAAATGAGTCTTATATTTAGAACCAAAATCAACTCAAGAATTGGATCCTATATTAAGGATTGGAGGAGTACAATCACAATATTACATCATGCAATGACCTCAATCTTTGTCCCATTAAAAATTAATAATAAAACAATTTAACCTTAAATTAATATAAGAGAAAATTACACACAGGACCTAAGCAACATAATTTATTAATCTAAGGTCAATACCGCTATTATGATCCATATGCTTTACTAGCTATTTACCCTGACCTATATATAAAAGCAGGAAAGGAAAAAATGGTTTGCGATGCTAAAATGAAAACATCCTTTCTTACTTTTTTATTGAAAATATTCTAACCTTGATCCTTATGGGAAAAATATCAATCCGTCTGCTTGATTGTGAAGGGAAATATGTGGTTGTTAAGTATTACTCTCATAGAACTGGCCAAGAAATAGCAAGTGTCAAGAAGGCTTTTCAGAAAACTATATTCAACAAGCCAACCTCAAAAGATTGGCCTTATGTGAGCATAAGGTGGCAGATGGCACTTGGAGAGCAATACATCAATCCTGATTCATATCACATTCTCATTTTATTATCAGTCATATGGCAATCAAATTTTAAGCAATTTCATCAGTACAAATTCTCAAGAGACAAGAGTTGGGAGTATCAAGTTAATGCTATTCAATGCGCCAATCAAGGCTGTTTTGTAAGACAATAAAGCCTTAATGTACGTACGTATATACACAGTTAGGAACGAGAAAAGAGCCTTAGCGAAAGACTAATAGCATCAAAAAAGCCCTGCGTGACTACTGTGGCCAAGATAATCTCATTTTCATCCTCGTCTTCATCATTAGAATATTTCGAAGGTAAAATAAAACTAACTGTTAATGTTGGAATAAACATTTATAAGATTTAAACTCTTAGCATTCTGCTAAAAACACAATATCTTTAAGAGTGACGTGATTAATACTAAAAGAAATCAACGCGGGACAAGTTCCAATTCAAATGGAAAGAGCAAGGAACAACGTAAACAAACTCATTTGAGCTAGAACCAACCAGAAGAGGATTCTATAGAATATTTCAAACTCCAAGTCAATCCTTCCATCATCCACAAATTAATCGTACCCCGTGTACAACAAATCATAGCTAGTTTATTATCATACACATCAAGGTGTGCACATGCAATTGAAAGATTATCGCCCAAGCTCACCGGAGTTCGTATCAATGCAAAATCTTCTCTTGCCATATCAAAAGAAACAATACCAATACAACCATCCAATACCCTACTGTTGGATTTTGGGCTTAGATTCGCCCTTGTTGTGCCGGATTATTTGACCGGGTATAAAGAGAATATACTAGTCAAATATCCAAATGATATTGTGATATGTTTGACTTAGTCAAGCACTCTGAATCATATCCAATTGGTTACAATATAAATCTGATTAGTTTATATTAAATTAATTAATTTATAGTGTAGATTAAATATATATTAAGTATATATATTTAGAATTAATTGTGATTGATTCTGGATTTGAATTCAAATATCATGATATTATGGGATAAGAATATATTTATATATTCTATCTCAGATTTTATTTGATGGGCTCAATGGATATTTTGGCTATCCAAAATACTCCTGACAAAAGCTATAAATAGAGGTTTCCTCCCATCAGTTCAAATCACTCCAGTAGTTGAGCTTTCCTACTATCTCTCTCTTATTTCTTTCTTGTAAGCACTTAAAAGCTTAGGCATGAACGACCCGACTTGAGGTCCGACACAGTACGTTTTCAATCCGTTGTCTATTTATTCTAACACCTACCAAAGTTGGACGTGTGGAATTTGCCCCTCCCATCTTCTAGGTCGATCAATTGCTAACCCAAAAATAGTTCCATATATCGATCGAGATGTTTGGAGAAGCAAGTGCCACATCCTCTAAGTTCCTGACACACTCAATTTCCCTCCATCATCTCGTGCGTGATGAATAGATTTCCACTCGTCTGACTTGGTTACACCGTAACGCTCTGCGCAAATTCTTACTAGCTTGTAATCCTTTACAATTCCGAGGTACCCAAGCCCGAAATTCTTTTTTTTTTTAAAAAGACTTTGAAAATTATTCATAGGAACCTGCCTCCCCTCTTGAATAGTTGAATGCCACAGTTAAAAAGAGGTTGAGATGGAAAATCTACAGAGATGATTTCAAGCCAGAGCAAGCCATTGCAGGAAGAACATACATAGTGAAACAATGGAAGAGGAATCATCAATTAAAAGATGGTTAAGTGCACGGACTTGCATATCACAGTCAAGTAAATGTAACCTTGAGGGGCCTATTTTTTTTTTGTTTTTTTTTATAGCAAAAACGGTCAATTTTATTAATAACAAAAAAAAAAGGTTACAAAAACAAATAGCCAACTAAGGCCAAAAAAAAAAAAAAGCACTGGCGAAAACACCTAAGCTTACAACATACCACACCAAAAAAACTCACCAAAACGATACAAACTAGCAAGAGAGCTTAAGCAAAACAAGAAAACAAGAGAGCGGCTCCTATCCTGTCCTCAACATCAGTGAAAGAGTAAGCGAGATCCATCTGCATCAAATGCCAAAGAAAAAAAAAAATCACCATTCTAAGGGAAGCGTAGAAAGAACAATTTCTTGAATGGATTGTGTCACGTTTACAGGATCCTATACATAGGCGGTGTACAATAACCTGTGATGGACATGAAAAGAGGATGAAATCTAGCCGTTTAATAGAAGGCAACAGGTTTATGAGAAATACCAACCTACTCCTAAAGAGCACCAATTCATCAATACTCTATTCACTAAGAATGTTTGAACTAGTGTTATTTTAATCCCCCATGTCGGCCGACTAATTTTCACTATTTTTTTGTTTTTAAAAATAAAAATTATTTCAATATTTTTCTTAATCAAAATATATTTTGACTAAGCATTTTCCCCGCAACGTGCTGAGTTCTGATTTCGATTTAAAGAAAGAAAATTCACACACACCCTTGGTGCAAGTAGAACGCGCTACATGGGAGAGTCCTCCCAACCTAACGCATGGCAACACTATACTCTTTTTATTATGGAAAAATATTTCCTCTGTTTGAAAAGTGAAAAGTATAAAAACTAAATCTAAATAACTTCTCATTTTCGCGATTTAGTTAGCCATTTGCGGTTTTTGTGGGGGTTGGAAAATAAAACCTATAATTTTTAATTTCCTCATGAATTTATTTGAGATATTTTAAATTCAATTCTGACTATTTTGTTTCGCACATGTTGAATTTAGCTTCAATTCTAATTATCAGATGAATGTGCTAACATTTTAAAATCGAATTCAAATTTCAAATTATCTTATTTGCCGTACTTTGAATTAAAATTTTAAAATAAAATAAAATAAATTGCAAGCGGTTCCCACAATTCATATTTCATTATGATAGCTTCCTTATGCATATTTGAAATTCATAATTAGGAATTGAAAAATCTGAAATATATCAGGGTTGCTGGCCAAATCAAGGTCAACTAGATATTAAACCGGTGATAATTAAAATAATATAATTTAATTAAAATATGTAAAAATAATCATATTTTTATTATAAAAAATATCTTAATAAAAAATAGTATTCAAAAGTATTCTATCAAACAATAAAGATAACACACATATTATATATATTATAATAATTGAACAAGGAACAGAGGAGAAAAATAAAAATAAAGGAACGTCCGCTTCCCTCCTGTTCTTTTGGATCTAATATAGTAACCACTTTTGAAGTTTTTGTTGTAGGATCTCCACTCTAATCCTTATTTTATTGTTGATTATTATTCTTTTTTTGGGTTAATATAATTTTTGGTCCTTCAAGTTTGCCTTTATTTTGGTTTTAGTCTAT